TGACAAAATGTTAAACAATGTTAGAAGTCTCTCAACAAACTCTTAAACAAGGTTAGAGGTTACCTGACAAACCCTTAAACAAGGTTAGAAGTCTCTTAACAAACTGTTAAACAAGGTTAGAAGTTACTTGATAAACTGTTAAACAAAGTTAGAAGTCTCTTGATAAACTGTTAAAAATGGTTAGAAGTTACTTGACAAAATGTTAAACAATGTTAGAAGTCTCTCAACAAACTCTTAAACAAGGTTAGAGGTTACCTGACAAACCCTTAAACAAGGTTAGAAGTCTCTTAACAAACTGTTAAACAAGGTTAGAAGTTACTTGACAAAATGTTAAACAATGTTAGAAGTCTCTCAACAAACTCTTAAACAAGGTTAGAAGTCTCTTAACAAACTGTTAAACAAGGTTAGAAGTTACTTGATAAACTTTTAAACATGGTTAGAAGTCTTTTGACAAACTGTTAAACAAGGTTAGAAGTTACTTGATAAACTCTTAAACATAGTTAGAAGTTTCTTGACAAACTGTTAAACAAAGTTAGAAGTCTCTTGATAAACTGTTAAAAATGGTTAGAAGTTACCTGACAAACTCTTAAATAAGGTTAGAAGTCTCTTAACAAACTGTTAAACAAGGTTAGATGTTACTTGACAAACTGTTAAACAAGGTTAAAAGTCACTTGACAAACTGTTAAACAGGGTTAGAAGCTACTTGACAAACTGTTAAACATGGTTAGAAGTTTCTTACCAAACTGTTAAACAAGGTTAGAAGTTACTTGACAAACTGTTAAACAAGGCTAGAAGGTTAAAGACAACTTTCTAAGTGGTTATAACAGTGGAAGTAAAAATAAATCAATGTTTCTAATATGTTGCATAATAAGATGGTTGATAAATGGACATACTACATAAGAAAAATCTTAGTCACGCAATATGTGCATTGGTTGCACTGAAGAAATAGTTTTAAACGAGGTGATGTATTATAGTTGAAAGTTTTTTTGTAATTTAAATGGCATTTGTAATTATTACTTTAGTCAGATTAATTATGTTATAATAACAGAATAAAACGATAATCTTGTTTTTTATTTGCAGGAGGAGAATGTGACCAATCCAAGATGTGTATACTGGGATTTTAATAACAGGTTAGAAAATCCAATTAACATTTGCTTCTGTAAACCATTGACTACATTCATGTCTTGATAAAGTATATTAAACAAAGAGCAGTAATACAGTGTGCAAGCTTATGACTGTGTTGTATTATTTATGAAACTTTTTTATAGCTATTTCTCAATATAAATGTTTTCTATTTCATGTAAAGTTGCTAATTTGTTTGAGTATTTACTCTTTCGGTTTTGAATTCAGCATATATATATATATATTCTTTACTCAGTAACACCCGAAGTTGTATTATAGATAAGGACGATGGTATTGCATGAACGAGAGATGAGTTAATATCTCGATATATTTGTAAGATATTCGCCTTTCGAAAGAACAAAAAAATGAGGTCATAGCGGAGATTTGTGGTACTTAGCATCCCCAAAAGTCTTATAATATATTTCTTTTAGGAAAGTAACTGAAAATAACTAACGCTAACGTCATATTATTATTGGCGGAAGACCTGATTTGTCTGTTTTTTTGGGATTTCAAAGGTAACTTCTCCCACTTCACAGTGGTTTGGTCAAAATAGGTAATAAATTATTGCAAGTCACTAATATAGTTTTATTGATGCCCAGTCAGCTTCACCTTTCAAATGCTCTGTTTACAATAAACATTAGTAATTGGAATAAATACGAATTAGTTTAGTAAGCTACTTATATTTGACCATTTAGTGCGAGATATTTGGTTAGATGCCCTTAAAAAAAAACCTTTTTCCTTAAGGGAAGGATAATTTATTTCTCATTTTGTTATAGACGTTTGGAACCATCAGTCGGAAATCTTCTGTTTATTATATTTTTATGATGGATTTGCAGAAAGTTATTCGCAGGTTCGCCCGGTGATAAGCTTTAGATTTCGAATTTTCAAGCCGGGGTCGAATCAGTGCGATGCCAAAAAAATCCCCATATTTTAAGCTGTGGGAGCGTTATAAGGGAAACAGTTAATCCTTTGCGTTTAAGGTGCTAATGATTAGCTGACTACCCTCATTGTTACTATTTCGAAATTAGGGACGGAGGCAGATAGTCTCAATAGACTTGACGTAAATACAAATATAAATACTTACATGTAAATAGATAGATAACTATACAATTTAATTTTAAGAAATTGTTTTAAAATTTAGTTTATATATATATATATATATATATATCTAGTTTTTTTCCCTTCAAAATTTTAATTTGTGCACGTTATATTAATTATCTATATACAAACGTTACACAGTATATATAACTTTGAATATTGTTGGGTTATTTTTTCTTTACTTTTAACTATAGAATGTGGTCAGGGGAAGGATGCTGGACGACTTCAACTAACAGAACTCACACTGTATGTTCCTGCAGTCATTTTACCAACTTTGCTTTGTTAATGGAAGCATCATCCATGGAGGTAAACTGAACTGATCATATTATAATGAAAAGTGGCCAACAACCATTCTATTAGTAGGAAGATATTATACTTTATATTCAAGTAGCTATAACATTGTGTTTTATGTAACACTATGATATTAACTTGTTACTGGAAAAGTATTTTACTAATTATAAATTACAAATATTAATCGTAAGTTCATTGCCTCTTTATTTTCATTCAGCCACGAACAAGGGTAAATGTTTTTCAGTGAAAAGCGAATGAGTGAAATCAAAAGTTGTGATATACCATACAGATTCAGAGTTATTAAATAATATTATCAAATACTTTGCGAGGCAAAAGTGAATTTAAATTTATACTGTCAAAGCGTTTATTTTTTTGTTGTTAAACGCAAAGCTACACAATGAGTGGGAAGATTTTTATATGTTTCGAGCTTACCGCTGAGCCACTAAAGAGACTGACGATGGGTATAATAATTAATTTTTGGCAAGCTTTAGAAAGCTGTTCTATTGTCTTGTGTAAAGACAATATACACGATACAAGTAAATTTATGTCTGATAGATGAGCTCTAATAGCCTCAAAACGCAGATTACAGAGATGATGTTCACAGAGTTATAATAAACTCGGACATATACGAAGACAAATGACACAAGTGAACAAATGAAATAAATTTGTTATTCATATAAATATTTTCGTCTAATACCAAACTCGATGGCTTCTATTTTTATTGTGACTTCTCACTGCTGCCTGGGTTAGAGAGGCAACAGACAAGGGCAGAAGAAAGAATCCTGTAATACCCACTTTTATATTGGACAACGGGCCTAATGCGGTATTCCACAATTCTTAGATGACCTAAGTCAATGGCTATTCAAACTCGTAAATTAAACACAGACTCGGTGTCAGATACAAGCTTTTACGGGATAGCCATAGCAGTAATGCAAGCTCTATCTAAGCACAGTGATTAGTGTGTAGTTTAACGACTTTAGGACATCTAGCTCGGAAGAATGTCATTTAGTGCAGCAGACACTAAACTTTGCAAAAAGCACCTGGATACACTACATTTATATTTTAATCTAGTTATCAGAGGGTGATATTAGTAATTATTTCAAGTGTAGCATAAGTTTCTTTTTTTCAGGTTAAAATGTTAGCACGGAGGATCACATACAAAAGATCTAATGGTTTTTCAAATGAAACCCAAAACTCGAGCGCTTTCGAGTAGTTCACTATTATTTTTTTTTGTTTTCAGATAGAGAAAACTAGCACTTATTTTTTTAAAAAACATTTCATATTCTGATTTAAATATTTCTCCGTCCTATATCTTATACATTACAATTAAAATTACAAGAATCTTCTGCGCATATATCTACTAGAAACTAAACTGGGAAATATTGTAGACATTCATACAGTCACGTGTCATTTACGAAACGTATATCTACTAGAAACTAAACTGGGAAATATTGTAGACATTCATACAGTCACGTGTCATTTACGAAACGTATATCTACTAGAAACTAAACTGGGAAATATTGTAGACAGTCACGTGTCATTTACGAAACGTATATCTACTAGAAACTAAACTGGGAAATATTGTAGACAGTCACGTGTCATTTACGAAACGTTCACAAAAATGATGGAACTTAATTATAGCCTTTTAGAAAAATGTTGTTTCTACAAATCCTTAAAAGAGGTTAAATTTTCCATTGAACGAGTGAATGACGACATCCAAAATTGTGATACATGTCATATAGTACATTTCTAAAAGTGGAGCCCTCTACCGATATCATTGGTGAAGCGAAAACTATATAACGAGTTCAAGTAGATATTATATAATTAGAAATTATTTCTCCAGTATAAATATAAACTATTAATTTACAGAATATATAATATTTTGAAAACAACAAAATTATGCAATTATTTAGGCATTCGTAAAATACATTTGATCGAAATGATCAGTATGCTTAATGAATAGTTCAATGTAACTTAAAAATTCTCAACGTTGTTCAGACCATAGTAATCTAAATTTAAAAAAAATACATATTTTTACTGAGAAAGTATTCCATTGTTGTTTCTCCTCAAAACATTTGAATCTAGCTGCAGTATTTTTCACGACGCTATTCAAATAAACCATAATTGCACCCCAGTGGCACAGCGATATGCCTGCGGACTTACAACGCTAGAATCCGGGTTTCGATACCCGTGGTGGGCAGAGCACAGATAGTCCATTGTGTAGCTTTATGCCTAATTACAAACAAACTAACTAACTAAACCATAATTACGTTTCCATGCCTCAAACGAAGTTTCACGTTCTATTGTCGTATATATATATATATATATTTCCAGATAGACAAAGCTAGCCTTTCTTTTCATCATGCATATCATATTCTGATTTATGTTTTAATTAATCAGTATTTCATACATTATGATGTAAATGGATCTTTCAGGTACGACTCATATTTTACAAAGAACTTCGTACCGCAAATTGTGAAAAATGTTGACAGTGTAATATGTGTGAAATCAAAAGTTCTTATAATAATCTGTTTACGTAATTTATGACGTTGTTTTTGTTATTTTTCCCCCTCCATCTTTGATTGGCTTTTTTGTTAAACCTATTAGTTTGTATTAAATTAATGCCATTTCTAGTTATTTTGCAGTACACAATGTATTCTTTATTGTTACTGGATAATTTTAAATGTATTGGTGAAAAGAAATCAAAATATGAAATTCAGAAACTGTCTTTTCCTTTTATTAATGGATCAGTTTAAAAGACCCGTTACTGAAAAACCTCACTCGGCACTTTAGGGCTGTGGATGCGCTATAATAGTAACGTCAAATCCCCCTTATTAAAGATATCTTTAATCTGAATACACCAAACTATTTGTCTCGATCTCGGGAATCGAATGACCATATCCTCTTCTCGTTATTTAAGTCTACACTGTTTTACGATTGATTGATTATCTGCGACTATCCATGACTTTCAACCCCATAAAACACCTCACTTTTACACACCTTTCAAGATAGTAAATGTCCTACAAACTCTATACTTCTTAGGAGCTTAATCTGGGAACTAATCAATGTATGAAGATAAGTCCAATGAGTCACTAAGCAGTGACAGAGGCACAGAAGATCACTAGTCAACAGATGACGAAAGTGGTTGCGACAGAGCTCAGGTCGGGTCAGATCTTAGGTTTGGACTATTGACTGGTATGAGCATCCTGACACAGGCACAGCTGAGGCGAAGATGGTTTAGCTAGAAAGTACAATGTATTGTGTCTGATGCCGACGAGAAGAATGAAATTGGGTCTGGTGACGTCCGATCCTACGCTATCAAGAGAGCTCTACTTATGCGACAGTCTGGGGAACTGGTCATTGTTGACGTCAGGAATGGCGAAGAGAACAAACGACTACAAACCTGCTTTCTCGCGTAGATAACAAGAACTACGATACAATGCATTTGCACTTGAGCGCCTCACAGACGAAGAGACAGAACAAGAACAATTATTACTCCACGATTCTGTAACAGAAGACGAAGAGAGTGGAGAAGAAGAGGAGGAGTGGACAAGTCCACAAACGTTTTCCAATCATCGTTTTTTAAAATATTTTTCTTATCATCCAATCATAATGAGACATTGAATGGGGGCACCAATCACACAACTGTCCCTAATATACACTATCAGTGATTGTCACAGGAGAGATGCCTACTCCTTTCGGAGCCCACCTTCTTACCATTTGGTATTACGAGCATGAGATGTCAAATCACAGAAAACTATGTGGATTTAAGTTTTTCAGGTAATTCTATTTTCCGGACATTAGTCGTTTTTTGGGGAAAAAAATCCCAGTATGAGTAGGGGCTATTACTTCCCCCCAAACCCTGGAATTTTGGTCTGGTTGACTCGTGCGTCGGATGTTAACCGCAAAGCTGCACAACGAACTATATATGCTCTACCCATCGAGGGTATCGAAACCTTATTTTGAGAGCTATAAAACCTCCAGAAATACTACTGAGCTACTCGATCATATAAGAGTAGCCGAAGAATTGGCATTGGGTACTATTGGTTAACTGCCTCCCTTCTAGTCTTTCAATCCAACATTAGAGATGACCATGCACAGAGAACCATTCGTGTGGTTTTCCTCGAATATTCTAGAACAAGTCATTGATACCTACAACAGTTAATGTGAATATTATTAGTTAACCAACACTGGTGAAATGCTTCTTGTAATTTGATTTTACGAATGATAAATAGTCTAGTTCGCTTTCATGTTTTACAATGAAAAAGTGCGTATTTTCAAGTCACAATTACAGTAAAAACTAAAAACTTAATAAGCTATTAGATAAGTGTAGTGTGTGGTTTGGAAGTGTATATTTGTAGAATAGTTGATGCTAATTTCTTCCGTGCTTAATATATATTTAATGTTTCTATTTCTTTTCAAATAGCATTAATTTCATTCTGTATATCATGTTAATGTATAGCTATAATAGGAATGTATAGATAGAACTTAGTGATATTTCTGAACTTCCGCCGGCTCTGCAGACATAACTATCTGTCCCATTTTGTTCTTGCAGCAAAACGAAGTCTTCGAAAAGACATCGAAAGTAGCAGTGTGGAATGGTTGTAGAATATGCATGGCATTTATTTTGCTCACGTTTCTATTGCTTATGAGACTGAGGTATGTACTGTATTTAATAACGTCTACAAAATTATAATTCTAACTGTTCTGGAATCATAAAATCACAATAATATTTTTCATAGCAAAGTGATGTAAATGTGCATTTATTTTAGAAATTTCTTTGATATTTGATAGTTCAGATGGCTCGGAATTTGAGGAAGAAGAAAAATCAACAACATTAATTTATAGGGTTACCGTGAATCTTTGGAAGCGTTAATATCCACAGTTTGTGAGCGAAAACTATAGAATAATACTATAATAATACTGTTGAAAACAGATTGCACTAGTTATGCATTCTGTTAATAAAAATATACGTTTCTGTGAACAGGGGAGAATAGGTTCTGTTTGTGAAATATTTTGACATCACCCCTTAAATATATAATTTTTTTTATTATATAGTCAACTCGACTTCATTTGCTTAGTAAAATTCAGCTTGTTTTTTTTAGTTCCCAGACTTCTCCAATTGTGAAAAGAAAACGGAAGTAGCGCCATCTGTTCAATGTGCCAAACATTACAATGCTGCTTATGAAACTTGTGATGTCGAGGAAGTAACTCATTTCAAGTAAATCTATAGCAGAGATTTATAGCTGATACGGGTAGTAAAACACTTTTGTTTTAAATACACAATCCAAATAACAACGTTCCGACATGCTTCAGTCATCATCACGTTAAGAATGACTTATATTATTAAACAGGCCGAAACATTGCTGCTTTTATTGTGTTTTTAAATAAAAGTTTTATAATACCCATATCAGCCGTCTCTGCTATAGATTTACTTATGAAACTGTTAGCTGTACCTAACATTAACATTAACATGCTCTTTACGTCAAAATATTTATTATTTCTGAGGTTATAAGAGATTACAAAACCTCAAACATGTTTTGGACATCATATATTATAAGAGACGAAAAGAAACAACAGAGATTCTAAATTATAAGAGGCATCTGAAAATAATTCTTAAGATATTTAACACAAAATAATTCAACATAACAAAATACGGTATAAGATGGATATTCAGATCATTCAACATAACAAATTACGGTATAAGATGGATATTCAGATCATTCAACATAACAAATTACGGTATAAGATGGATATTCAGATCATTCAACATAACAAAATACGGTATAAGATGGATATTCAGATCATTCAACATACGGTATAAGATGGATATTCATGAAATTATCGTTTTTTTTTATTTCAGGAGACTGAAAGGGGATATATATACCATACGGAAAAATATATTAGTGTGCCTTTTTCTGGCGGAAACAGTTTTCCTTATCGGCATAGAACAAGCGACAAATAGAATTGTATGCGGTGTTGTAGCCGGATTTCTTTGTTACGTACTTCTCGAAGTGTTTGCCTGGACTCTACTAAGCGTTTTTCACCTGTTCATGGTAGTGGTGGATGTACTTGATGGGTCCACATCCAAAAGTAAATGGTACGCTGGCTTTGGCTATAGTATTCCGGTTGTGATTGTTGGCATCAGTGCGGCTATTGACCCTGGCAGTTTCGGCAATAGTGTCAACGTTTGTTGGTTGGAGTATGGAAACTTCTATGTAATGAGTTTCGTAGGACCAGTTGGAGCAAGTATCATTGTAAGCCGGATATATAATGTGATTTTAATATAAAGCATATTTCATAGAGTTAGTATATTTTTCTAAGTGCGAAATTCTTTTTTTTTTTAATTGTTTATATATATTTGCATCTGTGAAATGTTTCTAACCAGATTGAAGAGGCAACTTTTTAATCAGAACTATGATAGATAATACAATTACTAGAAATAATAACAACAATGAAAACTAAAATATTAACACAACAAATATTCTTCCTGTTTAATAATTTTATTCGTTTAGTTTGGTTTTGAATTTCGTGCAAAGCTACACGAGGGCTATCTGCGCTAGCCGTCCCTAATTTAACAGTGCAAGACTAGAGGGAAGGCAGCTAGTCATCACCACCCACCGCCAACTCTTGGGCTACTCTTTTACCAACGGATTGACCGTCGCATTATAACGCCCCCAAGACTGAAAGGGCGAGCATGTTTGGTGTGACGGGGGTTCGAACCCGCGACCCTAACCACCTGGCCATGCCGGGCCCGGTTTATGCTGATATCTAATGCTGTAGTTTTACAAAAATATTGAATGATTTTAATATTTTATTCAAGGTTTTTCTTTCCCCTCATTCTTTATTCGACTGAATATCTTATATAATTCGAGATCTCCGAAGAATTATCCAGCTGCGTTTAATAAGAGTAACAAACACTAAAAAGCGATTCAATGTTTTCCTCACAGAAACTCCTAATTCGATTCCAAATACGAATTTCAAGCAATCGTTATTATGAAAAGTAGTAGGTGGGTGAGAAATCATGAAGACTTGAACACACAGAAGATGTCAACGAGATTTGTAATAACTTCGATGAAGATATTCACCATTGATATATGGCTGGAAAATACGGATGTTATAATTATTTGTTTGTTTTGTTTTTGAATTTCGCGCAAAGCTACACGAGGGCTATCTGCACTAGCCGTCCCTAATTTTAACAGTGTAAGA